GTTAATGATTTTATATCAATTGATAAACATTTAATTACATTAACCATCAATAAAAATCCTTTTAGATCTGTAAGGATAAAAGAAAGCTCTATTGAATTTATTGAAGCTAAAAATATAGTTGTAACTTGCAAATTTAGTGAATGCCCCGAATTATGGATGAAAATTCAAAATTTTTTTTCTTCGTATGCAGGAATTTGTGATGATTTTAATCATAATCTTACATTTCTATACAAAATAATTAGATCTAATCATACAGCTTGTTCATTTTTGCTTTTGGGTATGTTATCTAATAAGAATCATACTCATTATTTATTAATAACTATTATATCATATTTACTAGGACTGGCTGATCCTATTACTGCCAAATTTTTTTTAGAACGGTATATCAATGAAAACGATGAATATTCACTTAAATTATCTGATACTATAATTGTATGTTTTCTTTTAGAATATGATTTTAAGCATAACTCTCCTATTTTGTTGCTATTTAAATTTTTAATGGTTGATGCTGCTTGTCAATGTATACATGATCAAGGTGATGAAATTACAAGACAATATAAGAATTTTAAGTTTATTCAATATCTAAACGATACTATTGTTTTAAATGATAATGACGAAATATTGTTTAGTAAACACAAGGTTTATAAACCTTTAAGTTTAATTTGGTATTTGTTCTCAGATATTAAACCGTTATATGAACTACGAGATACAATTTTTTATAATACTTTATATATAATTAATAAATTTATATTAAAAAATGATAGATTTTATTTTTATAGTAATAGTCTTGTCAATTATACTGCTGAAGATGAGAAGAAACTAGCGGCAACCTTTGCCGAATTTAATTAAATAAATTTTATTAGAATTTTTTAGAAATTTGATGTGTTCTCTTTAATTTATTATTTTTATTTCTCCATATTGCGTGATTTGGGGTGTCTGGTTAATAGATTTTGCAATAAAGGTTAAAAAAATCAATTAAAAACTGTTAAATCTTATATAATTTTTAACCCTCACACCCGGATTTTTTCCTGAAAACCTTATTTTACATGCTATATAGTATTATTTTCTTTTTTAATATTTGAAAGATAATATTGACATTTTTGTAAGTATTAAATAAATGATATTTTAAATGTTATTTCTATAAATCCGAAAGAAAAAAACCCACATGATTTTTTAGAACACAAAGATGGTTAAAAAAATTTGTCAGTAACAACTATAAAAATGGTGATAGTAGATTTATTGCAACAAAAATAATTGATGTACTACGAAAGTTTGCTTTGGAAAGGCCAGGCATGATACTGCTGCTGTATCGCTCCGCTGAACTGAGTTGTGTTCTTAATTGGTGTATTGAGCCAGGCAATGTTGTTCTGTACATCCACTTAAGGTGAGAAATGTTCTTTAAGTATATCGAAGATTCTACATACTAAGGGGACGCTCTTTTCTCCTATAAGCAAGGCCTTAAAGGTATGCTGGCGTCTAAGCACAATATTTATATTTTTATTTTAAAGTGGCTTTTTGGTAACCTGGTGGTTTTTCTTCTGTTGCTGTTTTTCATTTTTTAACAATAAACTATTTATTTTTTTGTTGATATTTCGAGGAGTATAAAATTAACGATAATTTATTGTTAATGGTTTTTAAATATTTTTTTGAACGACTCGTTTTTTACACGATTTTTAAAGCATTCTTTTTTGTAAAATATTTTTTAATAATCCCATTATGACTGAACCAACACAAAGACTTGCAGTTCTAAATTGCAACAATTTCAATCCACTGTTTGATCTACTTGAAGAAATTACTACAAATTATAAAGTAGAAAAATGCACATCTAAATCTGGAAACAAATGTTTTGTAGTTAAAGCTGAAATTAAAGACAATATAAAAATTTATGAAGTCTTAAATAACCTAGAAGTAGAGGATAGTGTTCTTGACTGTAGATTTGTAGGACCCGAATTAATTTTTGACCAAATAGAAGATGTTAACAGAGAGGTTTGTGAAGACGTTGTTGAACAATCTGACAGTAATAAAGTTCTTAAGGACGATTTAAAAATCGATTGTAATGACGATTTAGACACAGATTTTGTGGTCAATTTATACGATAGTAGGTTTTTAGAGATGTATATCAATGACGATTTTTATATTGACACTTCGCACGATGAATACAAAAAATGTAGTTTTTTAAAATATTTTATTGAAGCTAAAAAGAAATTTAAACATAAGTAGATAATAAATTTTTTATTTTTAAACGTCCTCTTGCACCTCATCCTCTTCAATTGTAACTGCGTGGGTTAAAATACCAAGGGTTAATAAACAAATAAGTGCTAACACAGAAACTATGACATTATTAAAAAATATAATATACAATAAAACCAAAGAAGTTGTTAACGAATTAGTATACATTCTAGTAAACTTAAATCCATTAACAGTTGGTGTATGAATATTTCCATAAGTACATAGCACACCCAATCCTATAAGCAATACGACAGAAGGTTTAAATAAAATAAAAATAAATGAAAATCCAAGAGCTATGCAACAGTAAAAAGTTTTAAATTTTTCTAAATTGTAACAAATTCTTTTTTTGGCTAAATCTATAGATTGCGGTATTGAAGTCTTGGTAAAATTAAAAAATTCTTTAGGCGGTGTTTTACTGTTTAATAAATTCGTAAATATATTTTGAACACTTGGTGATTGAGATTGTTCTTCCATAAGGAAGGGGATATTCTATTTTTTATAAATCAAAACTGACCAATTAAAAATAAAGGAGTTTAACAATTGATTACAAGATTAATAATTCTCTAACAGTACTTTCTTAATTGAAATGTGAGATTAAATAATTCCTAAAAAAAATTCCACTACCTTATAGTCACCATATATTTTATATATTTCTATCTCCTTATTAATTATTATTTTGCTATTGTAGCTTAAATATTTTTTTATATTAATTAAAAATATATTTACCAAAAATGGATACAATTTCCCTTTTAAGCTATGCTCTAAAATCGCACGCTCAAGTATTTCTGGTGATAAAATGTTTCTCATATGTGCCTCAATAATTAAATCTTTATTGGTTATAATCTCTAAAAAGTCTTTTATTTGGTCATTACTTCTTTGTGTAATATCTAGTTTCATAAACACATTTTTATCCTCGTTAGATTTATAAAATAAAGCAAGTATAATGAAATATAAATCAGAATTAGCATCCTCCAGATCAGATTCTAAAAATTCATTGTATAATGTTATAGTGTCTTTTTTATTTGTCAATAAAGATATGTATATTGTATCTAAGCATATATCTTTTAATTGATACAATAAATCTATGTACCTAACTTTATATTTAATATCATCTATAATAGAATTATAAACAATTTTATATAGCCAATCTCTATCTGATATTGAAATAAAATCAATTTGTTCGATATAATTTTGTATGTAAATGCACACATCAATATTTTCGTAATAATTTAAAAGTAAATACGAAATTAAAACTTTAAAAACGCTAATGCTTTTAAATTTATAGATATTGTTTTCTATACATTCTTTTAGTATTTCGTATTTTTTACTCTTATATAAAACTTCCAATGATGCTATAAAATCTGTTGGATTATCTAAATCAGATATTTTATTAATGACTGAACTAACACAATCTAAAAATATTAAGTATTCTATTTCATCTACAGAAAATAAGATTTTTTCTACATTTTTATAATATTTTTCTGCTTCTACTAGATTTTCTAATTTAAAATATGAAAAATATAAAATATTATAAGCAAAATTGTCGTAGACAGAAATACAATTTATAAGCTTTAAATATTTCCTATTTTTGTATAAAAAAAATATTGTATTTTCATCTTGAACTTTCTCTATGAAATCTTGTGAAATGTCGTGCTTCATATAGAAAAGATCTTTGCAGGTGTTATTTTTGAATGATTTAATTTTCAAGCTATAATCTCTAATATTCTTTTTATCAAATACTGATAGGTACAAAAATACATAAATATTATTAAAATATAATAATTTATCTTTGATTTCTTTGGTGTAATATTTTTGTAACATTAGTTTATCTATAAATATTTCTAGTGTTTCACTTGTAAGAAAATAAACTGCATAATCATATTCATTGTTTTCGTATAAAAAAGTAAAGAAAAATGTCACATCGCAATCTATGTCTCTAAGATCAAGCTCAATATTCTGTAAAAATTTTTCATTTTTAATTATAAAAATATTATAAAGTGCTTCTGCTACTTCTTTAGTAGAAGATGTTTTTAAAATAAGTAGGTGCAATATTGTATCCTCTAATAAATTATGTACTACAAACAAATCTCTATTGTTTAATACTAGCAAAAAATATTCCTCTGATTTATTATGTTCCTTAAAATAAAAAAATTCTTTGGCAACAATGTAATATATTTGATATTTAATATCATTCGGTTGTTGCTTGGATGATATTAAAAGTTTATCAACTAAAAAATAATAATTTTCATGATTATCTTTTTTTTTATTAATTTCTTGAATAATATGGAAAGGATTTAAAGTCATTTTTTTATGCAATTGGCTGAATTTATACAAAAATTGCATAAATTATAAAATTTTGCTTAATACCTTAAAATATAGCAATATAACTTAATTAAACATATATAGCCTGTGTTATATACCAAATACGAATATTAAGTTATAACGACGTGTACTAAATTAAATAAAAATTTAGAAATTTAGATTTCTACTACAAAATCTAATACAAAATTATTGTAAGGCTTGTAAGAAATTAAAAATGGTTTAGCAAGTAAAAATGTTTGATTAAAAAAAAAATTCATACAACTAATTAGTAAATAATTACTTTAGGCTACATTTAAAAATCTAACGTCGCTAAAGATATATACTTTGCTTTAGATTAGATATTTAAATGGTAGTATGTAAAATGTTAATAACCTGAAAATGTCTTAAAAAAGAAATATAACAGAAAGAAAATATGTTAAAAATAATAAACATTTTGTTTTTTTATGTTTTTAAATTAAATTCATAAAACTTATATTATGTTTTTTTATTACTGACTTATAAACATGACAATATAAAAAAACTAAATATGAATATTTGTATAAGAATAAAATGATAATTTTTTTGTATATTTAATTATATCGAACCAAATTCTAAAAGATAATTAACTTTGCTTTAAATTTCAGATATATTGTTTTATTTTACTACAGCACGCAAAAGTTAGTAATCAGGCAATATTGTATCAAATTTCTTGTAAATAGATTTCATATGTATTTGTAATTTCTAAATATTTCATTAGGCAACCTTTGGTTGATTACTTTATACACATCTAGAAAGTTAAAATATTTAAGTTACTAGTTTTAAATATAAAGAAAAAGTTTTGTCATGAATTTGTGTGATATTTTAATTAAAAATTTTTTACGTTATTTAAATACACGAAGATTTTTATTAAAAAATAAACATAATTTTTTTAGGTCAAATTTAATTAAAAACTTTTATATTATTTAAAACACAAAGTTCTTTATTAAAAAAATAAACATATTTTTTTAAGTTAAATTTAATTAAAAACTTTTTACATCATTTGAGTACACAAAGCTTTTTACTAAAAAAAAACATACTTTTTTTAGGTTAAATATTAAAATTTTATCAGCAAAAAAAATAGATGAAAGAGATTTATTACTAAACTTATGAAACAAAATAAAAAAGATCAATAATAGAAAACACATTTATTTTTATATTCTTTGAACTTTAAAATGTAGTTCACATACATAATCGTAGTAACTGCATACACCATTCATATTATCTTCAATCATATATCCAATAAATTCGGCCTCACCTGGGCTCTTTCCTTCTTCTATTACTACAATAGGTAGCTCGTAGCCATACGTTCCATTAATGTCATCTACTAATTTCATTAAAATAGCATATTCTTCTTCATTTTTAAATAAAGCTTCTTTAAGACAAGGATCAACACCTTTTCCGATGTATAAAAAAATTTTTTGTCCATTTTCTAGAACAAATATTTCATTAGAATCTATTACGTTCATGCTAAGCTTCAAATACTGAATTTTAGCTAAGTCTTGATCTACATAATAATCTGTTAATGTAAATAATCTAGGATAAAAAAATCTGAGAGTTTGCTCGACAGAAAATTTTATTAAATTATTAATATCATCTTTCCGCTTCCCTGCTGCCATATTTGATATATTAAAAATATTGTTTTTTACAAGTGCTTGATATAAAACAGGTAACAATTTAGCGGATTCGGGTAATACGAATTGTGTTATCGAGATATCTTTAACGCTAGACGATCTGTAAAATTTCAAAAACTTACAAATCATTTCTTCGACGTGTTTAATATTATAAACCTCTTTACAAATATACTTACAGAAACAAGCGAATAAAGTATCAAAAGAAATTCCGTTAAATATGTCGTAAGGATGTTTACTTACTTTATACGATTGATTAAGCACTAATGTTTTGTATTCTCCTTCATATGTAAAGTAATTTAAAAAAACTTGTATATACGCTTTAGCATCAGTAATATATTCGTCAATAAAAAAAGTATAAGCCACAGAACTATTGCAATCCATACTTGCTATCTCTACGTTAGTAATATTTTCTACTTTAGCATCTGTGTATACTGCATTTTTAGCAATACCGTTAGAAGTTTTCACTTCTACAGATACATTAAAAAATGTCTCAGTACAACATATTCTGTATAAATCATTTTTATACCTAGAAAATGGAGAAATATAGTATATTGTCATAGAAGGAATATTTTCAATAGTTGTTATATTATCTGAAAAGACGATAACTTTAGACCCATAAGAATATCGCGATATTTTTGTTAAAATGTTTTGTATATTTTTACAATCCTTTTTATCTTTTGTTATTGCATCACTTTTTCTTTTAAAAATGGAAAGTAAAAAGTCTTCGCTTATTCTTTCTGTTTCTAAAAAAACATCTGGTGGAATAAATGGAGAAAGCTCTAAAGAATATTCAAGAATATCTTTATAGTTCGTAGTACTATAAATACTATATCCTTTAATAAATACTACCTTTTTATATAGTGTCTGAAAAGTTTCGTTTTTTATAACATTAATAATTTCATCGATATTTTCTTCTCTAAATGTGTACGACGTGTCAAACACAAGTACAAAAACAGGATGTTTAAATAAAATTTTTTGAAAATATTCCGAATCAACCATATTTTTATATTCATAAGTAGGTTCATATACATTATTTAATTCGTATGTGGGGTATTTTAACACACTGTTAAGTTGCTCATAGTCATTACATATCTTTTCTATTGGATTAGGATATTTACAAATATTACAGTAAACTTTATCATTTTTAATTTTCCAATGTATATTAGCATACGAAGTACAATTAATACATCTAATAGAGTATTGTAAACTACGTCTACAGTCACTTTTAAAGTTAAAAGGTGTCACAACAATTCCCAGTGGAATATTTAAATTTTCAAAAAATTTTACTGTGTCGGGCAGAGCGTACATTGTACTGCGTATTAAATGTGGATCACTATTAGTTGTTTCATGTATAAAACATGATGTGGTTGATAAAGGTGGAGGAATAATAGAAGTATCAAATTGATAAAATATTTTTTGGTCTTTGTACAGTTCACTACTCAAATCAGGTACTTTAATTTTTGGTTTATTATTCATCTCACTTGCTTTTGGAAACGTAGCACTTGTAAAAGTATTTTTTGTGTTCATAAATAAGGGCTAAAAATATACAAAGGATTTAAGAAAACTAAATGATGCGTGAATTAACTTATTGATAAAAAGGTATGAAATTTTATAGTAAAAGTATGAAGTACATCTTTTTAATTTCCTATTGACTTAAACAAAAAAATTTAAAAATTTTTATTCTTACCAGTCAATAGAACAAAGTACAACTTTAAAGAGAATATAGGTTCTTATTTTGTGACGTGGTGGGGTGGCATCAAATAATAACATGTACACAAGATAATATTTTATTGCTCTAATAAGTAAATGTACATTAAAAAGTAGTCTTAAAGAAAATATCGTAAAGTCTTAATTTTGTATCTAAATGCACAAAGACTCTGAGGGCAAGTCTCTCAGTAACGGCGTACAAAGTTACTACATTTTTTGTTAATTTATTAGTATACAAATAAAAATAGCCTTATAAATAATATTCTATCATATGAATTATTTAGTTATTACAACAAACTTTCATTAAATTTTAAATAAAATCTTCACTAGTATTTATTGTTATAAATAATTATTTATTTTGTATCAATTATAAGAAACATTTTTATATTTTAAAATTTGTTAGAGTAGTATTAACTAAACTAGAAAGTACATAATATAACTTTAAGAATTGTATTTAAATTTATTTTCCAACAATTATACTTTTAATTAAAATATTTACAATTTTTTTGAAATTAAAAAAATTCTTAAATTAAAATTTAACATTACAATTAAATTATCATCCAACAACATAATTTATTTTATTTTCCTTCTTCACTAAACTGTACAACAATTATTATTCTGTCGAAAAATTTTTAGAAAATAAGAAGTAAGTCAAATTGAAAAAAAAATACTAATTTTATTAAACATTCTAAAATTTATATTCTTTAACTTAAATGTAGTACTATTTTTAAAACATATTTTTGTCACATGTTTAAGAAATAACCAATCAATGCTTTTTTTTGAAACATAAATTACTTAATAAATTTTACAAAAACAAACTATGATCGGGTTTATTTTTTTCTGTTTACTACTGGCACTATTTATCGGTATATTGTATAGACTATTTACAATCGATGCAAGCTCTAGAAATAGTATACTAAACACAATGACTGGCGGTACTCCCAGTGCTATACCTTCTGGTGACAATAATCCTACTCCCACTACTGAAACTCCTGAAAGTAGTCCTGCAAGCAATCCACCACAGGAAGAAGCAGCATTACTAACAAATGACTTAAAATTTAATAATTTACTAAAATTTGATTCTTTGAAGAAAAACATGTGGGTCGGATTAGATGGTTTAAATCAAAGATTAGGATGGAAAAATAAAAAAGAACAGGTTGGTGAAAAAGAACCTGAAGAGAAAATTGGAAAAAAGTCTACACCAGGTGTTAAAGGAGAATTTGGTGATCCAGTTTCTATAAAAGAAACACCTTCAAAAAACAAAGGAAACGAATCTGGAGACGTTTCAAATAGTTTTAACAAAGCTTTTACCAATCCTGAGAAACCTAAAGAAGAGAAATTTGAACCAATTAAATTTACTCCTGCAAAATTGCAAATCAAACCCAATGAACTAAATAATGGAAAAGATTACTCTAAAATTGTTAATATTGAAACAGAAGAACCAGAAGATTACAAATTAAAAAAAATTGCTGATGAAAAACAGATGAAGGAAGTTTTAGGTGTAAATGATCTTGATTTACCTAAAAAAGACTTAAAACCAAAAAAAATGCTTACTACAGAAAATATTATAAGCGTAAATAAAACTACCTTGCCCAGTGATTATCTAGGCACTGATAAAACTCTTTCTGAAGAAGATGAAAATGATTCGATAGGAAATATTGTTGAGAAATCAAAGAAAAGAGAAAAGTTTGTCCCAAAAATTGGACTCAAAGAAGGCAGTAGAAAAGATATTAAAAAGTTAAAGCATCATAAAAAAGATCATCATAAAAGTCATCATAAAAGTCAACTAAAAAAATCTTCACATTTGAAAAAACAAGGGTTAAAGCATCAAAACATGGATTTACATACCCTACTTAACAATACTAAAGAAGTGGTTTAATAAATTAATTTATTTAAATAACTTATATTTTATCATTTTCTTTTTCAACTTCTCGCTAAATTCATTTTTAATGTAATTGTCAGAATTTAAAAGTTTACAAACTTGTTTTTTTACATCGTTATCTTTTTTACAAAAAAAATATACCAAAATCCAAGAAAAGGTATTCATAAAAACAGTTAAATTTTCAATAATTATACTTTTAAATTTACTAAGCAAATAATTCTTGTTTGTATTAATTAAATCTTTTTCTCGCAATTGATTAAATAAAGTAGGAAAATATTTTTTCTCTTGATTAAAAATATAAATAAGAGGTAAAATACTAACCTCATTAATAAAAATGTCTCTGTAATTTTCAACGTAAATGTCAATTATTTTCTCTATACTTCTGTTAAGTTCTAATATCTTTAATATAAATATAGAACCATATTCATTATTTACTACATCCATAAAATTTTTAGTCAGTATTCTTAATATTTCTGATACATTGTCAATAGAAAGAATAAAAAGACAAGCTTCAAGACCTTTATAAGTGCAAAGAAGTAAATTCATTTGTTTGTTTCTTATTAATAAATCAAGAATATATTGTGTATCTTTAGGATAAGCTTTTAAATATTCACAAAGTAAATCATGTGTAAATATATATTTCCAAAGCCTTTTGCTTGATAACTTCTTTATAAGCCCAGTGTTTAAAGCTTTATTCCGTTCTAAAATATCGGGTGTACATGAACAATCAACATTTTTTGAAACAGTAGTATCGCCGTTACAAATGTGTTCTGCATCAAAATGTGCAATATTATCTTTGTTAATACAACCATTATCGTTTTCTGCATCCAATAACAGATCTTCATTAGTATTTATGTTGTTGTCAGACAAATCCTCTTTTTCAAAGTCTTGTAAATCTGAATTGTCTTGTATTTTATCTGAAAAATATAAAATATTATAAATCATTTCTTTTCTGCTTTTTCTATTACTAATTTTATATATTTCATCCAGAATAAACAATCCATTTCTATTACTAACTAACTTTCTACTAAGCAGAGTTATTTTTTTTATAATTGAAACTAAAAATTTTTTATTGTCTTTAGCAACAGTTAAAATAAATCGTTTAGAATGTTCATGGCAACTAATGTCATAAATATTATTTAGTGTAGCTTTTACAATATCATATTTTGTATTCATATTTCCCTTGTTAAACAAAACAGAAATCTTATTGTACATGCTTTTCTGCCTTATAAAACTTACAAAATTTGGTTTAACATCTAACCAGGCTATTTCTATTTTTTGCTCTAAATTTTTTTTGTCGTAATTTGAATTTCTAAGTAATCTTTGCACTTCGTCAAAAAAATCAATATTCTTCTTGTTTTTTTGATTTATTTTTTTCATGTATTTTTCATTATTTATACTACCATCAACATTTTTTATTGCAGGTGTATTTGGTTTCAAGCTTTCCTTTACCGTGTTTTCTACTCCTTTTTCTTGTTTAATTTGTCTTTTTACTTTACGTGTTTTATGATTGTTTTTCCTTTTTATGCTGTGCATTGGGTTATAAATATTTTAATTTTAAAATGTTAATAAACGAACAAACTAAGAAAGTACAATACAACACTCTGACAAACGAAGAACAAGAACTTTTAAGAATGTCATGTATCAGATTTATAAAAAATGAAAATAATTATCTGAGTTTTTATGATCTTTATATTAAAGATTGGTTTAAAGTTATAACATGTGGTTTTTGTGACTACAGTGAATTAACCGACAGTTTGTTTAATTTAATGGATTTTCTTAAAAACAAAACTGTAATTACGGGCGCATCAGATAATAAACTTGTAATGGCACTTTACAATAATATAAATATACCATATGAACAGTTTGACATAAATAATCTTTACAGTACATTTATAGAATATTTACATTTATATTTTAAACCATTTTTAGATGGTATTCTTATGACATTGTTGATAACGATTTACAAAAATGAAAATAATTTATTGAGTATTAATCTTCATAGTGAAGCTCGAAGTTTTACAAAAGAAGATTTCTTAGAAAGAATACCTTTTATTCTTAGTAAAAAGCATAGAATTTTTTTTATAAAGCTTAAATTACTAAATGCAAAAGGATTAGGAAAATTTATGATTAAGTTAGAAAATCAGGAAACCGTGCTTGACGGAACAATACAAGAAACAATTTTACAAGATATTTTAAATCAAAATTATGAAGAATTTTCACAAAATTTGTTCTAACCGTTCGCGATGGGACTCGAACCCACAATCTTGGCTTTAGGAGAGCCACGCCTTACCATTGGGCCACGCGAACATTAACTTTTGTAATAGAGTTTATATTTGTTTTTATTTTATATATATCACTACAGTGCGCATCAAAACGTTATGACAGCAAAAAAATTTACTTTTGCCAGTACAATAAACGTTAAATAAGAAAGATAAGAGTAGAAATCAAGCTTAAATAAAAAGTACAGAATTTATTAATTTGAATTATTTTTCAAATAATCTCACTATAGGTCAATTAAGAATTTTTGATTTTTTTCAATAAAATATCGTGTCAGAACGATAATACCGGTGCCAAAATTGAATATAAATAAGTATATTATTTGTAAAAAAATTAAGTTTTTTATATTTACATTTAGTTATTATTTTAATTTATAAAAAATAATTTAGATTTAAATTAAACGTAAAAAATTCTATACTTAAATTATGAACAAAAACAATAGTATAAAGTTAATGAATCTTGCATAAATATTATTTTTAGTACGTTTTTTATTTCTATGTTTTTAAATTTATATATTAAGGATGTGTTGTTATAAGTTTTTTAAAAAAAATAATTGTGTACTTAAAAAATAAGAAAAAATTAATTTAGTGATCTTATTTCTTTTTTATCACTATAATTATACATTTTTACAATTCATTAATATACTGTAACAAATTTTATGAAGGGATGCTAATTCATATTATTAGTATTGCAGAATATAGTTTTTGGTAATTATTGTACTGCTTACTGCTTTTATATATTATTTTTTACATTTCTACACAAAGATTCTCAACAGGATTTAAATTTGGACTTAGGGGAGGCTTATCTGTGCATTTAATTGAAACTGTAAACTATAACCATACTTATGTTGAATGCGTACGATGGCGTGGAACATTGTCTTGGTGAAAAATAAACGTACAATTATTAAACTTATTTCCAATTTTTTTCTTCAACAAAAGCTTTTAAAGGTGTTTCGTGCATTTTACAGTGCGATTAATTAATCATTTTATTAATTATTATTTGAATTATTAATTGCTCATTGGAACAAAAACTGACCCAAATCATAATGTCATCACCGCCTTGGACTCTTTGGCTGTAAGAAAGACTTTCATAATCTAAATGATGCCAATAGTATTTAAATCATCAGGCTTACCTTAAATTATTTTTTTTTTTATCTAAGAAAATTACTTTATGCCATTTATCTGTCCAAGGAACCATTTAAAATTATGGGATTCTGTTAATTACGAGTTTTGTTTTAGTTTCTTATGAACTATATTTTTTTTATTTTTTATTGTCCACAATAATGTAAATTTAGAAACTCTGGCAGTGTTGGCAGGCAGGCGACCAGAGCTATGAACATTTATTATGAGTGTCACTCTGCCTGTGGTAAAGAATTTATTACAGTTACGTATATTTAATTGCCCTTATGGGTCCACAACGTGTCTCCTGAGAGAAGCCCTTCAGCTGTGTTGTTTATTTTTATTTTTATAATTAATTGGAATTAGATAAAAAATCAAATTTTATACTAAAAATTTTTAAGAAGAGAAGAAAATAATTCACGTAGAAAACATTACCACAGAAACATTTAAATCTAGTTCAGATTTGATTTTTTTTTACGGCAATAGTTTTATTTGTTGTCATTTTTAGAATTTTGTTGAAACTTTTATAGAAAGTGTGGATTTGCTGCTTGTTTTAGCATAGATTAAGATTTGTTTTTAACTGTTACACAATTTTTTATTGCTGTCATACTTCTTTTAATAAATTAATTATTTGACTAAAGCATTTACCTGATATGTAAAAGCATCTATTAGTTCTTTTTCATAGCAACTTAAAAATTTTCCTTTGATCATTAAATCTAAAATTATTTTTTTCTAGAAAAACTTTAAAAACAACCTTAATGTATAAATTTAAAAACATGTAAATAAATTACGTACTAAATATAATATTTATGCAAGATTCATTAACTTTATACTATTGTTTTTGTTCATAATTTAAGTATAGAATTTTTTATGTTTAATTTAAATCTAAATTATTTTTTATAAATTAAAATAATAACTAAATGTAAATACAAAAAACATAAATTTTTTACAAGAAAAAACACTTATTTATATTCAATTTTGGCATCGGCCTTAACGTTTTAACGCAATTTATTGAAAAAAATCAAAAATTCATAATTGACCTATAGTGAGATTATTTGAAAAAAAAATTCAAATAACTAAATTATAGTACTTTCTATTTAAGCTCGATTTCTACTCTTATCTTTCTTATTTAACGTTTATTGTACTGGCAAAAGTAAATTTTTTTGCTGTCATAACGTTTTGATGCGCACTGTAGTGATATTTTTAAAATAAAAACAGTCATATATTTTGCGCCCTTGTGTTGTTCTGATTTTATCTCGAATAATAGTAAACTTATAATTATCTTTTTCAAGAATATCATTTTACTCTATCAATTTGCTCCCCAACCTTATATCGCTATTTAGCTTAATTATAGACTTATAAGATTTCTTCAATTTTAGTTCAACTCTCTAGTCACTTTTCTAGTCATCAAATCTTCTAAATGTTTAATTGTATCTTTATTAATACTTTTGTAACTATCTGTCCTTTTTATAGACCTTTTTTCCTTTTTCCGTTTTAATTTACATTTATCAATTTTACAACATTTCACTTCCTCTTTACGAATGTTAAAAGCTTCTTTAAACTTCTCAACATATTTATTCAAATTTAATATTTTCCTTTTAATTCTTCTTTGAACTTCAATTTCTTTTTCTTCAGGCTCAAAATTAATTTTATGCCTCTACTTGATTGATTGTCTAAAACCTCTTTTTTGAATAGTTCCTAAGCTGTACTTGCTTCGAATTTATTATCTAAGTCTACTTTTGCTTATCTTTGCCAAAATCTTTTTTTGCACTCTTCGTATAATACAACCATCTTGTATCAGAACTTATTACAATAAAAACACTTTAAATTATAACTTTTTTGTAAATCTTACTTTCCCCTTTCATAGCTTCTCTCACTTCTCTAATAACTTTCTCTCTAATTTCAATAAGTATATATATAATTCTCTTTTTTTCTTCTAACTTATTCACTTTTCGTAGTAATTTATCTCTTATTTCTTCATCCATCTTAAAATTCCTAACAATAAAAATTTTGTAAATCCTTCGAAGTAAACTTAAATAACTTCTTTTCATCTTTGTACATTTGGTTCAGCTCAATTTTCTAAAACACAATTATAAATTTCTCCAATAATTCTCCGGCCCCTTGGCCACAGCAATCACTTAACAACTTTTAATATAGTATCGCCCCCATATAAGTACTTGGCACAATTGAGGTTTAATAATTTAATAGGATATAACATGTAAAATAATATCTACTATGAAGTCGATAAGATACAATGTGATATTTCTCAACACTATAATGAACATTTTTACGATTAAAAATAGCATAGTTTTTCTTAACTTTAATTTAATTTATTATATTAAGATTTTAATTTTAAATGTGATAATGGTTACAAAAATTTACATTATTTTATTTTGCTAAACACGGCGTTTACGTATTAAATATTACATAATAAGACATTATAATTATACAAAGTATACTTACAGTCGTTTTCTAACTAAAATTTTAATTTTTTTTAATAGTAAGTTCTTAAGATGATTTTTTAAATCTTGCTATTCTAATTTTATATAAAATTAAATAAAAAGTAGTACTAAAAAACAAATTATAGTTTTAAGAATTTATAATGCACTACGTATATTGTATATAGTACATAAATATTTATACAAGTAAATGATTTCACTTTTATTGTATTAAAAAAATAAATTACTTATAATAAAAAAATATTTAAATTGCATAATTAAATTAATTTTGATCAAAAATACCTGTGTAACTATGATGATATGCCTAACTTTTGCCAACATTATAGATTTTCTTGTTAACATGGTCTTTTTTTACAAACATTTATATTTAAAACAAAAAGCTCAACTTGATATTATAACGTGTATAAACGACATTAATAAGTGAAGTTAAACTTTATAAGTTTCTTTGTTTATTTTAGTTTACTTTTATATAAAATAAAATCTCAACCTATATTCACACAGCTAACTATGAATGCAAAACATTAGATATACGAAAAACAAGTAAAATTCTTTTTAAGGTTTTTTAAAACCAAAAGTAACATCATAGTTTGGAGTTGGGATACAAACAATAGAGGTTTATATTTAACCCTGCTGATCAAAAATTTTTAACCATCGAAATGAGTTGCAAAATTAAGAAGGAGAAAAAATCCTGAAGAAATTAATGTTTTTTGCATAAAATTGAAATTTAAATATAATAAATTAATTTAAATTATAATAATAAGTCGGTTTTTGTTAATTTAAAAAAGATTTAATTACTTTTTTAATTTTAAATCATTTATTATTTTTGTGATTTTTATAGCCCCCAAAAAAATATTTATTTTGATGAAATAGAGAACACATTTGAAAAAATTGTTTTTAAAGTTATTATAGAAAGGTTTTGTCTGAATGTTTAGGCAAAATTTTAAGAGTAATTGAAGAACAAAATATTTTATGATGATCTTGTGCTACTTGTAGGAAAAAAACAAAAATTACCAGTAACAGATCGTTTTGTAATGCTAAAATTAATTTTCTTTAGTTTCGAAAGTTAACTTTCTATTTTTGTATAACAATTCAATAAAATCTTTTAATTTAATTATGAGATTAAGTAAAAAAACAATCAATCGTATTGTAAAACACGCAAAACAAAATATAAGAAGGACCTGGCGTAATTGTTGAAATAGATGTGTCAAAATTCGGCAAGCGAAAATACAATAAAAGGCACAAAGTTGATGATGTTTGTGTTCTAGGAATAGTCGAACGTACTTCTTGTCGAAAACTTGTATTAATTAAAGTTTAAAACAGAAGGGCGGATACATTCACGGCGCCAATTAAAAATATGTCATGCCAGAAAGGATTATACAGACTGCTTGGAAGGATACGCTAAATTAAGTGAATTTACAGAATATTATGTACATCATACTGTAAATCACAGTATAGTTTTATTCACAACCAAACAGGTAGACATACAAATACAGTAGAAAGGATACGGGCAGGAGTAAAATTAAATTTTTTTTTCAGATATAGAATATATTCAAAAATCAGTAATTTTCTGGAATTGTTTGCGTTTAAAAGAAATTAAAAATCTTTTATATTTGAAAAAGTAATAAAATCCCTTTTAGAACAACTAAAACTTATTTACTATTTAAATTTGACGTGAGTCCATGGGATGGTGTTAATTTTTAAATATTCTTCTAACATACTAATGATAGGTGTGTTATTTCTATCCCAGTCTTTATGGGCTAAGAACCACTTCTGGGTTCTGTGGTTAACATAATTAAAATGATTTTTACTGAAAAGGTTTTTGACGCAACCCCGGTCGAGATGCTGTTCAATAATAGAAATAATATTGAAATGATTTATTTTAGTCGTGTTTGATTGCATCATAACCCCTATATTTGAAGTTTTCTAATATATTTAAAATTAATTAATCAAAATCTACTGATTTGACATTTAATTAAAATTTTAAATATTTCATTTGTGGGGATACCACAGTTTTATTTATAATTTTTCTTAAAATACTTTTACACCTTAAAAGCCACCAATCACATTGAAAAATGTTTAGTCAGTGTTACAGATTGCTGACATTTCACCTCATGAACCAATTATAAACTTAATTTCTTCATGGTCTTTCGACCATCATGTGGTATTCTACCGCAAAATCAATTGATTTATTATGTTTAAATTTCAATTTTATGCAAAAGACATTAATTTTTCTTCAAGGATTTTTTCTCCTTCTTAATTTTGCAACTCATTTTAAGGGTTAAAAATTTTTAATCGGCAAATTAAAAATATGGATCCCTTTTGTTATTCTTCAGCCTCATAATTTTTTGCATAATTTTCTTAAGAAAATAATTGTTTAAAAAAATTCTTCTTGTAAAGAAACAAATATTTTTACTTTAAATATTTTAATGCTTTTTAGATCAATTGAATACATTTAAAAAAGTATTAACAACTATTTTGCAAAATTGAGACACAAAAAAAAATATTTATTTACAATTTTTTCATAAAATTTTTCAATTTCGTAATATAAAAACCACAATGTTCTAATTTTTCTTCAAATTTCCAAACGTTGTATGAAATGTTAAATAAAACCTTTTTAACTTTAGAGTCAGAAAATATAGGATTTTCATAGTTTTGTGTGGAATGCTCCAAAAAAAATTTGATCTTTTTAAAGTCAAATTTTAAAATTATTTCAAACGTTGTAGTTTCAATTAATGTAAAATTACTGAAAATATCACATCGATTGTAATTCTTTAAATTAATATAGCTTTTAAAGTTGGCAACAAACTGTGCAACTTCTGCAATAAATTCAACCCATCCACAAAGCAACTTTTCTGTAGTTGCTGACAAAAAAAGATTGTTAATATCAATCATAAGAGGTACCAAAGTATCATTCGTAAGAGCATTAAAATATGAAGAATTACTATTTAATCGCTGACGACTGTTACAATATTTAGAATTTTTACTTAAGTTACAAAAAATTAGATCCCCGCATGATTTTTTTCTTACATCTAAAAAAAACTTACTTTTAAGTTTTCTTAGCTCTTTTTTATATTTAGTTAAAATATTAAAAAGCTTAATACTTAAATTGTCAAATGAAAAGCTTTGAACGGGATCATTATCTACAGCAAAATATTCACTTCTTTTTTCTTGCTCTTTTGTATCATTTATAATTAAGTCGTCGTTATCTAAAGACTTTTTATTATTAATTTTACTATATTCGTCAACTTCTTTATTGTTAACCTCAGCATATTTATCAGTATCACAATTTTTAAAACTAGAAACTACTAAATTATTATTTTTATGTTCAAAATCAAACTCTTGAAAAGAACTTTTTTTATCATTATATTTACTAGGCTCCTGATTAATATAATTGTCAATTTCTATATATAAGCTATTTTTAAATATCAGATCGTCAATATTTTGATTATTAAATTCTGTATAGTTATCATTACAATTAGCTTTTAGATGTTTAGTCAAAGGTTCATTTAATTGCACAGCTGGTAGGCTTTCCGTTTGTTTAGACAAATTTAAATTAGAATACATGTTAGCTTGTGCAGAAAAATAATTATTATTTGTCAAAGGTAAATTTTTTTCAACTATGTTGGTATAAGAAACATCTGTAGTATTAAAAACATCATTCCAGTACTGAGGGATATTTGCACTTATGTCCGATATTGAATAGTCCTGATCAAGAGAATTTGTGCTTTCCATATGTTGAGATAAATCTTTACTTGACGTTAAAGATAAAGTATCTGTTTCACAAGAATGTTGATCATATGTAAGACCACCATTTAAATTAAGTTTATTAGTACTTTGATCACGTCCAGAATCTACCCCGTCTTTTGCTTGCATTTTGTCATTATGTAGTAAATTTTCAAATGTTGTATTTTGTTGTGTATTCTCTGCTGTGCTAACAACATTACACAAGTTACTGTAAAATCGGTTATTTAAGTAATTTATATGAGAATCAGAGATATAAGTTGTACTAACTAAAAAAACACAAAAGAACATTTTATGGGTAAAAATTATTTTTTATCTTTTGGGTAATAGTAATAATAATTATGTCACACCATAAATAAAAAATAATTTTATTTTTACATATTTTATTGTCAACTTTATATTAATTACAAGTATAGAAATTTAATCTTTGCATTTTTAATAAATATATTAAAAAATGACTCAAGTTTTTTTGTAAATATCGCTAGGTATTTAATTTTTATCAAAAAGCAAAGTTTTGTGTTTGCGTCAATAAAATAAACATTCCTCCTTACAAAAATAATTACCCAAAGTGATATGTAATCATTAATTAAACCTTCACCAACTTTAATTAAATTGAAACGTAATTTATTATAAATAACAATATTTTTTGCCACAATTCTTTTTAATTTATTTAATTTAAGATATAAAGTTTTATTTTTGTATATTTTTAAATTAAAGTTGCTTTATTTTTATAGAAAAGTTAATTACTATAAGATTTAATTTAGTAAAAAAAATTTAATTTACAGCAATTATTTTAAGACTAAAGATAAATTATTTATTTCTAAAAAAACAATTTTTCTTGCATTCGGTTTTTGATTCAAGAAATTCTTAAAATATAAATTTTAGAAATAGGTACTTTTTGATGTTAATTTATCAACTAAAGCATGACTACAGTAATTAACAATTCAAAGTTTATTTAGACAACTAAAATCAATAAAGCAAAATTTGGCTTCTTGTAAATTGTAGAGTAAAGTGCAGCTAATTTATGTTTTCAATAATCTTCAGGATTTTGTCCTGTAGCATTAAAATTTAAAAAATCACTATTTATTTTGTAAATTACAAAAATGCAAAATTTTTTATTTTATTGACGTGAAATGTTGATGAAAGTTTTTTTAAATACTTTTGATATAAAATTTAAAAATTTTTATTTACAGTTTTGTTATTTTTCATATCCCTTCTATTGTAGTCAGTTCTCATTTTCATTATACAGCTTGTTTCAAAAAACGGAACATAAATTTTACCGATATAAATTGGTCAAAAAAATTATCTGATTTTATGAGTTTATCTAAAAATTATTGTAAGAACCTTGTTTATTTATATTTTTATTAGCTGTTGTAAAAAGTTTAATTTTCTGCTTTTTATAAAAAAGTGTTTCAAAAACATAACAACATTTAAAAACTTAATACCGTGTGTATAGATCCGAAGCTTCATATTATTTTATAACTCTTTTTTTGTAACTAAATGCCAGATTTTGACAAGTTTTTATTTTTATTAAATTCCATACAGCTTGTATAGCAGCTCATAATTCTTCCTTAGTTTTTATAATTAATTTAGATAATTTCTGTTTTATAATAGCTTAAAGTATCTCTATTGGGTTTAAATATAAAGATTGTGGTGGCCAATAAAGCAGCTCAATTCTTTTTTTAATAAAATAGTTCTTAGCAAGTCTTGACATATATTTCGAATCATTATCTTGTTGAAAAATTAATGTTTCTATTCTTATTTTCTCGGCTGACGAACGTAAATTGTTAACCAAAATACCCATATATGCTACAAAATTATAAGACCATCTATAAAAACTAGTTTTTCTACTCCATGATATGAGAAACATCCTCACACCATTGCAAAGCCTCCTCCGCATTTAACTGTAGCAACAATATTTTTTGGATAAAGACCTATATACACGGCTTTCTTTAAGTAAAAACTCTATTATCACTTACAAAGAGATTAAATTTACTTTCTTCGGAAAAAATTATGGTCTTATTGTTTCACCGGACATGTATATAATTTTTTCTGAATTTCTTTTCATGCTAAAATATATTTTTTTTGATAGAACAGGTTTTTTTTGTTGCTAGATATGCATGAAAACCATAATAATTGAGTGTTCTTTTTATAATTGAATAAGATACCACTTTTTTTCTTTTTCTAAAAACTCAACTGATAACCTTCTCAAAGAAATTTTAGGTTTTTTTATTTAAAGCCAAAATAGTATTAATATCATCCTTTAAAAAAGTCTTTGGTCTTCCATTTCTTTTTAAATGCACAAGTAGTCTTGTTTTTTGCACTTAAAAAGGAGTCTTAATACAATGCTCTTAGACACACCAATAAGTTCTAACTAATTTTCCCTGTGTTATTTTTTGACCATGTAAGCAAACAATTTTCGATCTGAGCTCAGGCGTAAGTTGCATCGGGAATTAAAAAAAATTAAAAAATAAACAAGATTTAAGAAAATTTACAGATCATTTTTAATTTCCTTAAAAAAAATAGCCATGTTTTTGAAACACTTTTTTTATAAAAAACAGAAAATCAAACTTTGTACAACAGCCAAAAAAAATATAAATAAACAAAGCTTTTAATATTTATTTATACACCTATTAAATCAAATAATTCTATTGATTAATTTAAACCCGTAAAATTTGTGTTCCATTTTTTTTTAAACAAGCTGTAGTTTTGTTTTTCGTGTCTGTGTAGGGGTAATTCTTGTATTTATAGTTTTGCATGTTTGTTTACTAACACTGATTAATTATTAAAACAAATATAAATTAAAAAGAAAACATTGACAACTAAAAGTTAAACAATAAATACAAAACACAAGTTTAACCCGTGTGTAATACCACATTTATTTTAAAAACACGATTACTCAGTTTCTCTATCTTTTAAAGTACTAAAGATTAAGCAAATACTTTTTTTTTTATACAATGCGCGTCATAATCTTAAGGCACCAAAAAAAAATTTTTTTGCTAAAAAAATAAAATAAGACATAATTTTAAAATTTTGATTTATG